CATGTCTGTTCTGAGCCTACCTGGGCATTCTAAGTCACTATAAATGCTCTTGTCCTATTACTTCCTGTCTGGATCTGTGAACCCTGATCCCATGAAGGAAAGAACACTGTAGCTACAACAGTTCTGTTAGAGAGAAGACAAATGTGCCCTCCAGCCCACTCTGCCTATGAGGGACAAAGCCCTTAACAGAAGCATCTGACCCCAAGACATACATCTGCCCCACGGAGAATCATAGCAGAAGAACATATTCCATTTCTGGAGTGGAAGGAACTCCAACACCTCCTCTGGGAGACGGACATAAGGTCCTGGTCACCCCATATCTTGAGCTATGCCACATCCACTTTAGAGTCGGGCCCTTCTGAAACATGGAAAACAAAATGCCTGGCCCTAAGTGACACTCTGGGAAGGAAACTTCACTAAGCATCACACCTCAATGACCCACAACACTACCCCAGCATTAACTCTTGCTTCAGCCACTGAAACCATCCTTTAACAAATAAACTAAAACAAGGCATTCAGCAAAACTTCATATACCCCTGGAATTCTGAAAAGTAAATGACGTGTGTCCCTGCTGTGGATCCATTTTTAAATCTATTTAGGTTTCTCTTATGCATAGTACAAGTTGCTGTTCTTGTTTCTAATCTAAAAACACTTTTACAAACATCCATGCATAAGCATGTGAACATTATCATTATGTTATGCACTTCCTTACTGACTTTCTATGTGTACTTGTGTGTGCCTGCCTGTGAACCTCAGCAGGTGTGTGCAGAGGTCAGAGGACAAGATGTGGAGTTAGTCCAGGGACTGAACTCAGATTATCAGTCTTTGGGGCAGGAGCCTTTACCTTCTTAGCCATCTTACCAGCCCTTAAGCTGAAGTTGGAAACACAGTGCAGAGACTGTGTCTCTGGCTGATAGTCCCCACTCCATAGCTCTTTCTTCTGCTGCCTCTGAAAGAAAAAAAACTGTTAGGGAAGGTTCTTATTTCAGCTCATTCTAGCTGACATATTAACATTTAAGAGTTAATTCTCAGCACAGGCAATTAATTCTCAGGCGCATCTCTGAGTTCAAGGCTAGCCTGATCTACAAAGCCAGTTCCAGGACATCCAGAACTACAAAGACAACCCTGCTGACAAAAAAAGAAAGAAAGAAAGAAAGAAAGAAAGAAAGAAAGAAAGAAAGAAAGAAAGAAAGAAAGAAAG